GAGCAAGAGCACCCTCCACAAGGTCCCAACACCACAATCTGCCATAACCTTCAGCCAGACCTAGATCAAGACCTCCTCACCGGAGTCTCTGACTTGAACTGGGAATGCTCCCGTGGGACATTACCTCACAGAGTCTCACGCTTTACCACTGTACCATCGTCTAGCTCTTAAACTACTACTTGATGATATTGTAAAACCTCCTAAGGGAAGATATTCCAAATGAACATCCCACCAACAGAGAATGAGAGTACATGAGATTATCATTGCTAACTTTTATCTAGAAGTGTGCTCCATAGAAAATCAACAGTAGCATCAAAAGCTTTGTTGTGAATTTATCTCTTTTTACGCCAGTAAGAAAATTAATTCAAATTTTTTTCTTAGCAAATTATAACTAGTTATATTTTAAAATATGTTCTTGTATGAGTGAATTAGTTATAAATTCCTGGCCAGTTTATGCTCTGAAAATATATTAACATAGAATTCTAGAATTCCATCCTAACCTTGAAGATGAGTTAGGATAAGTGGAATGTTAACTTTCACAGTAGGGTCATTCCATCTTTTGACTCTTGTATGAACATTTTCCTATTTCTTTAGTCCCTTGAGTCATTAGTTCAGTGTCCACATTGTCGTCTAGTGCCAGTTGTTCAATATGCTGGGCACAAACAACCAAAACAAATTCCTGGCTAGTTAATTTGGCTCGTCATAAAGTAGAATAGCCTTGGCCTCAGACTGTGTAGGGTGTCTGTGATCGTAGCATACTGGTGTAGGAATGATGAAAGAACAAACCAACAACGATCACCACTGTGGTTCTTGGGCTCACTGTAATTTATTTGAACATCCTGTTTCATCTTTGCGCAAAACTCTCTTAATATATGACTAGAGTAAGAACTCGATTCCATTATCAACAGTCAGAGAAAAGAAAAAAATCAATGCTGATTATGATATGAATATGTTTAATAAATTTCTTATAAGTAATAGGTTTATATATTTTACACAATAAAATAACATATATTTAAACCTCATTAATTTATTAAAATGCTATGAATTCATTATTTTGTAATTAAATGCCCAGCTGATAACCAATTAAATTGAAATAAACTTTAAGCTGACATTATTAGTTAGAAATGTGGGTCATTAGTATATAAAAGGAATTTTAGGACTTCCTTCAGGAAAAAAGAATGTTTAAAAAATAACACTGGATAAAAATTAAATGTATGTATTACATTTATTAAAATGTCACATATAAAATAATGAATACATTATGCTATTTTGTTAGTTGTGAACTTCAAGCGCTACTGGTTGCTTAAATATATTTTAGTAAACTTTTACCTTTGGGTAAAAATTATCAAAATAACATCACCACACATATCTACCCTCTGCAGCAAACTATACATCTGAAAAATTAACTTTGTTAAGGTATCTTAAATTTTTCTTATCTAAAAATCTATGATGGCTTAAAGTTTTGGTTTACTTTTGATTTTCACTAACCTCCTTGAAAGAGAAAATATGGCTAAGTGATAAAAATATTTAAAATCATTACGTAAAAAATTACTAAGATTGTATAATATGTTAGAAATACTGCTCTCATTTTTATGGAGTTTTATTTAAATTACTCCGGTTAAAAACTATCGCACAGGTTTTCTACCATGGTTTGCATGGGCTCTGTTCCTTGCATCTGATCTTGCTCATATTATTCGACCACAGACCTCAATCTTATTATCTTCTTGTTTTGGTCCATTGTCTCCATTGTACCCAAACAAACCATGTGCTTATTGTTTTTTTTTGTAGAGAAAACAGTATTTTTTTTTCTCCAAGTCATATTTATCTATGATCCTGAGTTTTTGTTTTCTCCTAGTCATTTATTTGACCTGTACTATATTTTTAAAAATTTCTTTGAGGTTTAAAGGAATGTATAAATTAGGCTATGTTTTTATCTTCTAATTGACCCCCTGAATGCAGAATTTTGGGGGTAATCCTGATTCTCTTTCTCTGACAAGTGATTATGAAATTTATTCTTTATTTCTACTACATTAGAATTTTCTCAAATAGAATCAGTACCATGGGTTAAAATTCCCATGTGTTGCCAGCTGAGAGACATCTAACCTCATTTCCTCAGTTTTCTCATCACTAACATGGGAGTAATAATTACAACCAACATCATGGTCGAAGTGTGTCAGAATTAAATAAATTAAAGAATGTGAAAATATCAGATAGCCTTTCACATCCAGCAAACCTCCAGTAAATACTAGCAGACTTTCATTGTTCTACTCTGAATACAGTGAAGATCTATTCAGCCTTATACATACATTAAACTTAATTACAATATTAAAACTTTTTATAAGGTAATAAACTTGTGAGGTGCCTAGTCAAGGTTGTTCTGAATATGCTTCTCCCTTCACAAAAGTTTAGTACTAAAAGCGGGAGAAAAATACACAGATACACACACTTCTCCCTTCACAAAAGTTTAGTACTAAAAGCCGGAGAAAAATACACAGACAGACAAACACACAAGCAAAGAGCTGGGGAGACACCAACCACTTTCATGCTTTTTTATTTTTTTTAACTTTTTTGTAGTCACCCCAAATGAGAGTCATAGGAACAATAGAGCATTCCAATCAGTACTAATGTTGTAGCATTTTGTTGTACAAAGCAATAAATATGAGAGAGAAAACAAATCTAATTTTCAAGTAATGTCACGGGCCATCTAGGTGCTGAGTGTATTCACATGCCAAGAAATCAACACATGCCCAAGGAGAGGGAGGCCCAGGCAAAACCACCCTTCTTGCCTTTGCTGATTAACCCTCAATACACCAAAACCTCTTCCGCTGCTGTCACGGCCGCTTCCTTTTACAGCTGTCCACTCTTTCAACAATATAATAAATACTATTAAGCAATTTTAAGAAAGATGGCAGCTACTTAAGGTAAAGAATATGAAAGATCCTGGGATTCCATATTCTTAATTTCTCAACCAGTAACAATCTTGGGGTAGAAGATCACACAGCGTGACCGTAATGACCGTGTCCCAGGTATTCCCTTATAGACCTAGTCTAAATTCTCTCTTTGTCCCTTCTTTATAAATAACTATGGTTAGATAGTTTTTAATAGTTTTTTTTTTTTTCACTCAGAAAGTAGTGGCATTGTGTTTGTTGAAAAATGCCACTCTAAGGATGTTTCGTAGAAAAGAACCAAGTCACTTTTGTTGGGAATTAAGAAATCAAGCTTGAATGCCTAACTCTCCTTGGACACTGGGCAGGATTTAGATAAGAGCAATGTGGTGTGTGTGTGTGTGTGTAAGTGTTTGTGTGATGAGGGCGTGAAGTGTTTGGGAGGGTGACATTTTTGCAGAAGGGAGTGTCAGACATAAAAATCAGAGATGTAAGGCAATTTAGAGGTATGTTGAGTTTTAAGATTTATTGTAAAATAAGACAGAAAATTTGTTTAAGCCTTTGGCAGTGACAGGTTTTAAGTTGTAGGTCGAAAAAAATTGGTTATTTTTCAGTCCATAGGAAATAATTAGAGAAAGAGAAGCAGGGTAGCAACAGAAATGAAAGGAATATGGAAGAAAAAGGAGGTCGCAGGTATCCTCCTCAAACCCTTCATATCATTGATGAGGATACTGAGGCCTATCGAAGTGCAAGTTGATTCAAAGCCCCATTAAACTGTTGATGTCTCATATCAGCTTTATTATGTATTCCTAGGCTTTAGATGTCTTCGTTGGTATTCTGTTTAGATATTTTTAAGTAACTCAACCATAAAGGGGGGCGGGGGAGGCTTACATTTTGAATGGCCCTCAAATAGAAACATAAATTTCAACTTTCCATCTCACTGTGAGGCTTTTTGCCAAACTGAGAGACTGATTCACTGCCATTCTGCTAAATTTGCTTCTTGCATTCGGAGCACATTATAATAGAAAGAAGCTGCTTCAGACTTCTGGTGCCGAAACATTTCAAGGAAAAAAAAAATCAAAGATGAGCTTCCACCTCTTGACAAAATTGCATCACTACTGCTTTATTCTTTCATCTTCATTGCAAATATTTGAACAGAAGGCAAATGCCATCAGCTGAAGACTGTGGAAAACGTATCGTGAGGATAGGACAACTCCAGATAAGTCAAAACTCGTAAATAGACTCACCTTTATTAGCTGTTAATACAAACCCTATCTTTACGGTGGTTATTATACACCAGATTAAATGAGATACTTTGCTTCTTAAATCTCAATTTTCAAAGATGCTTTCTTCACATTTTAAAAACATGCCACTATACTATAATTGCCCTTTGGGTGGTATTTATTTGAATGAATGAATGAGTAAATGAAGGGAAAATATTAAACCAACGGAAGGCATAATAAAGGTGCAGCATAGAAAGTTAATTGTCTTAAACTGTCCCTTTCTAATCATTAGTCTCACAAGCAATTAAAATAATTAAAAATTGCAAAAGCCCTGAAATTATCTGACGTATGCTAATTTCACTGTATGTATCTGCATATCCTCTCATTTCTAAAATACTAATACATCCTCTCAGTGCAATAAATGCATTCAGTCATCACATCTTAAAGTGCCTGGCACTCTGCAAATCTCAATAGCGCGATTCTTTTGACTCCCGGAAATCTCCACCAGCGCTCCCGCCCCTGTATTTATATTTACTTTGGAAGAAAATGTTGAGCAATCAGCCCATTCCAGGTGCCGAGTATCGGAGGAAGAGACAGGGTCAGTGGCAGTGAGCGATATGCGTGTTTAAGAAACTGGCCACGGACCCGCAGAGCCTGCGAATGCGCGGCGGTGTGACGACAAGGTTGTTGATGCCACAGCCTGTGAGGGGCAGCAGGCAGCGAGCCAAACCCCGGGCACCGCTCCTCTAAGGGCTGCGGGCTGAGCCGGGGCTGATTTCCCTTCCGCCTCCCGGGAACCCTGATCCTCGCCAGCGTCGTCAGGAGGAATCTTCGCCCTAATTATCCGGAGAGGAAGACGCGCCTTTCCCGGAGACGGCTAGGCAACACTCACCACGGCAGCCTCCAGATCACTTCCCTCCGTGGGTGTGTGACTTCGTCTAAGCAACTCGCACTTCCAGGAGATTCTCGCTGGCTAGGCTGCGAGCTCCGAGGGCGGGGGAGCCC